TAAATCTAGTGGGCTTAGCCCCTTACTACTAAAGCTAAAACTAATTAACAAAACAAAATAATAAAAGGTAATTCATTCATTTTTAATATATTACATATTTATATATTTATGTTGTTTACTTACTCTATATATTATACATTATTTCGATAAATCATTGATCAGTGGAATAGACTTTATTTTGAAGGTTATACGAACCATATCTCCTATGGTAAAATACAATTTTATCATTTTCATCATTTTAAATTAATCATTAAGCTTTAGGGATAAAAATAGTCCAAATAATGCCTCTGATTTTTCCTGTTCGGTTTTAAGGTTTTTGTAAGTTATCGCAAAATCCCCGATTTTTTGCATGCAACTAATAAAATTTTTCCCCAGGAGTCTTTGACATTCACTGTCGAAATTTCCTATGGCCTGTTTTATTTGTAGAGCCGTTTGTCCACTATTATTAGTAGTATTTACTGTATTATTTTTTACCACATTTGCATATGGTACGGTTTTTAGGACTTTTTGGCTGTTATAAATTGGCCTAGTTGTTTGAGAAATTGTATTTTTAGAAGTTTCCTTTTTTTGGGCAATTTTTTCTAAAATTTCTAGCCTTTTAGGGCATTTTTTGTAGCTTGCTACATGACCAAAAGCTTTACAATTTACGCATTTGACTGGTATTCCTCTTGATTTAATAATTTGGCCTGTTTTCGGGTCGGTTGTGACTGTTTCTTCAATGTTTTGTTCTTTTGGTGGTATGTGGCAATTTTTAGACTCATGTGGTCCTGCACATTTAACGCAGTTTGGCTGCATTCTGCAATTAACTGATATATGTCCATGCCTTTGGCAATGCTTGCATTGAACTAATTCTTCACTTTTATATTTCATAATGCTAACTCCACAGTTTAAGACGAATCTCAAACGAATGAGAGACTTTACATCAGAGTCATTTGTGATTTGCACCAGCCATCTTCTTTTTTGAAGCTTCACTATTTTTATAATTTTTAAATTTAATTCTGTTTCCTCTAGAAATTGTTTCAAATCTGTCTCGTCATATGTATCAGAAACACCTGATATAAGCATCGTATATGGTTTTAATTCTTTTGGTGTGTATGTAAAAAAAGAGATTTTTTGTGTTTCTAGGAATTCCCTAATTTTTTGATGGTCCTCATTTTTAATTAATTTTAAGTGTATTAGATTTTTGTTAATTATATTAATTGTGAATAAGTTATGTTTTAATATATTTTTAAGTTTGTTTGTGAAGTCTCTGACGTTAGTGTTGTAAATTTTAATTATTGGTGGGCTGGCCTTACCTTTAGGTTTGTTTGATGTTCTGTTGTTGATATCTTCTTCTTTCGTGTCATATCCTTGATCGGGTAGTTTAAGTATTTCATTGTTTTCGCCATTATTCCCTTTCGGTGCTATGGTCATATCTTCTTCTTCTTCTTCATCGGCTAACATGAGGTCTTCGGCTGCCTCTGTTGCCCAGTTGTTTTTGTTATTTTCTTCAGTATTTGTCCAATCCTTAGGGATATGGACATCCACACTCACATTGCCAGTGGCTATTTTATTTATCAGTTCTTGAATTGTATTTTTAAATTTTTCGTTATCTTCTCTTAACTGAATGTTTTCTTTTAAAAGATTTTCACATTTTATGTTCAGTTCGCACAATTGTTCAACGATTGGCTTAGTTGGTTTGTTTTTTCTTTTTCTTTTAATTTCAATGTATGTGCCATTGTTATTCGAATTTTCTCTACTTGTGCTTTGATTATTGGCACAATCGTCACTTTTTTGCATTAATTCAGTATTTAATTTCGTCTGTGTGTCATCAGCATTTACGCCGTGACCAGACATTTTTAATGACTTTCACTGGAGTTTATACTATGTTATCTCTTAAGTTGAGATAATCAGCAAAGCACTTCACTTTATTTTATTTCAATTTTTCACTTTTAATTTATTTTTATTTTTAAATTCACTTATCACTTCACGAATGCACAAATGCATGTGGAAAAATTGCTTATTATCCCAAATAACGATTTCTTCCGTATTTAGGGATTTCTTCCGTTTTTTTTAGTTTCCTTAGTATCAGTTTGTTTACTGACGAAAATTTGGGATTTTGTTGCATAATTATAATTTACAATATCGTTCACATATGCCGTTTGGTTGCATAAGTTATAATAGATATTTACGTTCTCTTTATTTTCAGATGAGAAATTCTTGGTATATTTGTCAGTATTCCAAGTATGGATTCTTACTGCTATTTGCATCTTTAATACAATTGCCAAAAATAGGTGAGTGGTGATAATGATTTTTGGTTATTTTATTACAAAACTTTTGAAAAAATAATAATAATGTGGAATTGGAAGCCTAGAGTTAGGAATGCATGGTTAAATGACGAAAACTGAATGACATATTACAGATTTTCCCAAATTCGAGTAGATAGCATAGCTGTTTTTTGCCTCATAGCAAAATTTGTATTACAAACATATATGAATAATCCATAAATTACATCCCAGTTGTTCATCAATATTTATAATATTTATAATTTTTGGTACGGACATGTGCTTTATATATATATAGAACCCAAAATACTTTATTCTAGCCAAGTCGGTTGAAAAACGTCTCCAAATCCATAAAATACCGAATATTGAGAGGTGACGTTATATGGGGGCTACACCAAAACGTGGACCGTTTGCAAACATCCTAGGAATAATGGCAATGTCTGTGAAAATTTTCAAAGCTTTATTGTACATATTGCAATCTCTATAGGAATTTCAACAGAGGGGCATACACATAAATCGATATACATAGATTTTTTTCTTATATTAAGATATTTAAAGGTTTGGGTTTGATTTGTTGGGTATCGCTGTAACGAATTGGGCTCTCATTATACGAACGTCAAAATAACTCACTTGCTTCATAGCTTTCGAATCGACTGCATATGCGTATTTTGTTTTTATTTTGCAGTCGATTCTCGTTTATAGAACGTTGTTGTAAAAATATAAGTTCAACATGGTACAGTTTTAATTTCGTGATAGAGAAACAGGCTGTAAATCTTTTTTATAATTTGTATGTTTTGTTTACATTTGTTGATTAAATGATATTGACACTATATTACTTGCAACAAATTTCTATGTGGTTGTTGTACAACAACACTTGTTGTTGCCTTATTTTATTATACCATGCTAATCAACATGATTATTGTTGATGTAGTTATCGAATGCAAAAAATTAAATAACTTTCAAGGTCAGCAGACCACACATATCCCGCTTCATTATTGTCGGAAGCGCAACCCATGATTTTCGTCTATTGAACGTGCCCACATTGACTGTGAATTGCTTGACATCCAAACTGCTTCGATCATGTTCTCTGGCACACATATAATTATTGCGAGGTTGTGCATGGCTACCATCTGATTACAATTTTTTCCTAAGGTGGCTTATTCTATCAAATCAAAATACATATTGAATACCATGCCAAATAAATTGAAATTTATTTAAATTTAATTGAAATGAAAATTATTTTTAGATGAAACAAAGATTTCATAGTATTCCCTACTGGATTTTGACGAACTTCCTTAGTTTTTTACTTAGTTTGTGGCGAATTTCCAAAAAAAATTTTCAAAGGCCCGCCATTTTGTTAACTTTTGAACGAAGTCAATAATCCTAGTTCATACGAGAGCCAGACATGTACTCTTTCTAACACCCTTGGAAATTCCGAATTGCGTTGTTCCAGTGAGGAGTTATCATACCGGCCATAAAAAATAAGGACTTTTCATTAAACACCAAAAACAACAACCAAATTTGGGAAATTATTTTTCTTGTCTTTTAAATCTTCAATTATTTATGTGTAAAGTTACAAACCATAACATGTATTGGTATTCATTTACCAGCCCAATGAAAATCTTGGGGGAGGTCCCCTTATTTCGTTTGGGGCATTAATATGGGGAGTATGTAATGGTGTTTTCATCATGTTTCATGTTCATATGGGGAGTATGTAATGGTGTTTTCATTATGTTTCATGTTCATCCTCCAAAAAATTGCGATCCAAATTACAGACTTTTTGATAGAAGACTTGAGATCACATATGTAAAAATATGATAAATCATATTTGAACTAATTCGGTTAAAAAACATGCCCAAACTCCCCAAAATACCGAATAATGGATGTACCATTATACAGCCTACCCGGAAAATTGGGCCAATTTCAATAACTTTTGGTAGGGAGATTTTTCTACTCAATGATAATCCAAAATATAATGTTACGTGTAATTAGGTTGAAGCATTTGATGCTAACACTTTTGTAAGCTGCAAACTTTACAAAAAAATGTCAGCTGTATAATCTGAAATAATATACATTTTCTATGCTTATATCTCCAGAGGGGTTGCAGATTCCAAGCTATGTGAAGAATGAATGGCCAGAAAAGAACAAATTTTTTGAATCTTTTAATTTGAATGAAATAATTTAATATCTATATAAAAAGGTGTACTCCACTGCATAATGAACATTCACGTGTTATAGTTCCAAATTCAATTCGTTCCTATGTTTTGAATATGCTGCATGACGGACATTGGGGTCAAGAAATTGAAAGAATTGCTAAATTTCTTGGGGTTCATGAAAATTTTATCCAGCTTCTAATGGATTAGCTGAACGGTTTGTTCGAACTTTCAATACAGCTTTTAACAAAATCATTAAGGAAAATCCGAATCATGAAAAGGCATTATGCGAGTGACATACAGACAGGAAAATCCGCTGGGGGAATTTTTATAAGAACGACAGCCTCGTACAATTTTAACGGCAATGTTTGCGAAAAACGAAAACTTAAATATTTCTTCAAAATTGTCTATTGTCCAAAAGGATATGTACGCTATTTTTGTGGTATGAAGCGCTTTATAGTGGGAGAAGTAAAGGGGGAAATTAAAATTTGTATGTGTTTGGTAGCAGAGAACAGCGCAGGGAGAAGTTTGAATGCATCAAAATCAAATGAAAATCAGAATAGAAACCAGTACTGATAGCAAAATGCGCAAACAATTCCAATTACCATGTAAAAGAAACCTGATGATATTGATATATTCATTCCGGATAACCAATTAAATCAATAGACAAGAGAATAGAGAGCACATACATGCGCACACCTTATCGAAATCACAAACAACTCGGCAAGAATCAAGCTATAACCAAAACTTTATCAGGGTAAACCCTCAAAATTTGCAAAAAACCGAACCCGCTAGGCAAGAAATTAATGAACCACCTAACAACCATGATAGCTTCATGCAACGACGCATCGAAATACGTCGGCAACAGTTAAAAGAATTCGTTAGAAATTTATAGGGAAAGCTAATTAGGAGCAAGGGAATGTTGGAAATCTAAAACTACTTTAGTACACGAAAAGTTATTTTCGTTTGCGGACTTAAAACAAATTTGAGGTTAAATCTGTTTTAATTAATTTATAACTTTTATTAGATTTTTTTTTAATTTGTCTTATGTTTTCTGTGAACGATCGATGACTGGTGCATATATTACAAATTAGTTATTTATGTCATTTCACATATCAAATTTTATATAATTTTAGATTCACATACTGATGGAACATATACTGCAGCAGAAAATGAAGCTCCTTCTGTGGCTCCAAAATTCTTATCTCGTGGACATCTGTACAAGGTTATTGTTGGGGAAACTATTGAACTACCATGTAAGGTCCAGAATTTGGGCTCATTTGTGCTTCTATGGAGGAAAGGATCGTCAGTCCTAACAGCTGGTCATTTGAAAATTAGCAGAGATCCAAGATTCAAAATAGTTGGGGATTATAATTTGCAAATTAATGGTGTGAAAACACAGGATGCGGGAGACTACATTTGTCAGCTTGGAGACCAGGAAAACCGAGATCAAGTTCATACAGTTGAAATATTAGGTATGTATGCAGAATAAAAGATTTTATTGCTATTTAACAACCACTTTACGATAATAACTACTCTGTTACTCTACTGATCCGCAAAACGTTGTCTACACTCAGAGAAAAAATTACAAAATGCGCACAAATGTTGCCAATAGTGTAACAATACCGTTTGTGAACACTACGATGCCAATTTGTACCGAGATTTTAACAACGGGTTCGATCACGGACGTGTGCAAATTGACAACGTCTGTGGTCATAAATTGTCACCATAGCGGTGTCCATGATCAGTTCGGGTGAAATCATTTCACCTCTAACATGGCCTGGTAATTGGATCATGGCGGTTTCGAATGGACATTCTTTGGTGGTGGTCAATTTTGAAATATTCATACCGTTCCATTCTCATTTTGTAAGCAATTACTTTAATTTATTTCAAACATATTTTATTAAAAGAAATACATAAAATTTAAAATTTTATATTCTATGATCGTGTATAACAACTATATTTAGGTTATTGTACCTTTTAGAATATTCCTTCGACCTTGAAACAATTTAAACCAGGCCATATATTTTAGAAGGCACTGACATTGTTTCATCGTATATTCAAAGCTATTAATATAGTAATACATTTCATAGCAATACAAATATACACGCTCATTCCAAGTGGTGGTATTGCCTCAAATAATTCTTTTTTATACACTCCACCATAGTATGGAGGGTATATTAATTTTGTCATTCCGTTTGTAACTCATCGAAATATTCATTTCCGACCCTATAAAGTATATACATTCTTGATCAGGGTAAAATTCTAAGACGATCTAGCCATGTCCGTCCGTCTGTTGTAATCACGCTATCTTCTGAAGGAATTGAGATAGGGTGCTGAAATTGTGGATAGGGTTGTCTTTTGTCTGCAGGCAGGTCAAGTTTGAAGATGGGATATATCGGTCCACGTTTAGGCATGGCTCCGATATAAGGGTACCCCCAATTTTCGGTATTTTAGGGTTCTTGACCGAGTTTTTCAACTGAATTCGCTGAAATTTGATACGTTGGGTTCTTATTGGATACTAAGTGTCTCCACAAAAAAGGTCCACTTTTTCTGGTAGCCCCCATATAACGGCACCCTCTAATTTTCAGTATTTTGGGGGTTTTGATCGTATTTTTCCACTGAATAGGCTGTAATTTAGTATTTTGAGTTCTTAATAGGTACCAAATTTCTCCACAAAAAATTATGAATATAGGTCCAATATTCGGTATTTTTGGGTTCTTGGGCGCGTTTTTCAACCGAATTCGCTGCAATTTGGTATTTTGTTGTCGTATATGGTAACAAATCTCCCTACCAAAAATTATTTATATTCGCCCCCTTTTTGGGGTAGTCCCTATATATCCCCCTTTTTTATATTAAAATAGTTATCTAATTTGTTCCGCGTTTTGGGTTTGGTTCTAAGAGTCTGTCGTAATCATTTAACCTGCGGAGGATATCGAGATAAAGTTCGAACGTAAGGTTCGATAATGAACTATACATAAACTATAACCCGCATTTAGGCCTAGCACCTGTGTGGGAGGTATCAGAGGGAGTGGACCGATAGTCCACATTTTCGAACCTGAACTAAGTTTGGAAGAATAATAAGATAGGCACAGGTTGGATGAAATCAACATTTTCTGGAACATGGTTCACATTATGGTTTTGGTATTTTCCCTACATTTTCATTTCAACTACCTTTTAGTATATCTATGGTGGAGGGTATCCAAAGTTCGGCCCGGCCGATCTTAACGCTTTTTCACTTGTTTATACTCCGAATGTTATCTGTGCTGCTAAAAGATTGAACAAAAAATGAATATAACTTAGTAAATCTAATTTACTAACCTTTTAAGTATTTATAAGCATAATGCATATTTATGCTTGAAAGAATTTTATAAGTTTACTAGCGGGCCCGGCAAACGTTGTCTTGCATAGCATTATTGTTGATGTATAATTCACAAATATAATATATAAGATAGCCCAATATTAAGCTACACTCCACGATTTAAGTGCTCTGAAATTTGCACATACATTGCTACTACTCCTACGATATTTGGTATTGAAAATGTTGAATATTAGTTCACTATTTAGGGTATCCCCATATAACGGTAACCTCCATATGAGAAATTGTAACGATTTTATCAACAGAATTGGTTGTAATTTAGCAGAAAGTGTCCGTACCAAATATTATCAATATTGGCATGTGTTTCGGAGTACCGCCTATATAATGGTAGCCCTAAACATTCAGCATTTTGAAGATCTTGGGCACGGTTTTCGACAGCATTGCTTTTAATTTAATATAAGGGATAGTTCTTGAGCAGAAAATCTCTCTACTTAAAATTATCAATATTATATCAGTATTTGGCTGTAATTTTATATTTTGGATGATCATCGAGTAGAAAATGTTCCTAACAAAGCTTCCGAAATGCCTCCATATAATGGCACTCCACATACGATCCTTTGGGGATTTGGACACGTTTTTCAACCTAATCAGCTGTAATTGGTTGTTTTATTTGGTAGCATGAATCCTACTAAAATTGTCAATATCAGTTCACTCTTCTGTATTTTGGGGGGTTTAGCCACGTCTTTCGGAGTACCGCCTATATAATGGTAGCCCTAAACATTCAGTATTTTGAAGATCTTGGGCACGGTTTTCGACAGCATTGCTTTTAATTTAATATAAGGGATAGTTCTTCAGCAGAAAATCTCTTTACTTAAAATTATCAATATTATATCAGTATTTGGCTGTAATTTTATATTTTGGATGATCATCGAGTAGAAAATGTTCCTAACAAAGCTTCCGAAATGCTTCCATATAATGGCACTCCACATACGATCCTTTGGGGATTTGTACACGTTTTTCAACCTAATCAGCTATAATTGGTTGTTTTATTTGGTAGCATGAATCCTACTAAAATTGTCAATATCAGTTCACTCTTCTGTATTTTGGGGGGTTTAGCCACGTCTTAGAACAAAATTGGCTGTAATTTTATATTTTAGATGATCAGTGAGTACAAAATCTACTTACTTAAATTATCAATATTGATTCAAGTTTCCGGGTAGCACCCATATAAGGGTATCCCCTCATTTTATCATGTGGCGTCAAATCTTCATACCAACAATTAATTAATCCCCATTCCCATTGTATGTCTAAATATAATAAAATATGTCATTTCGGGATATTGGGGGTGAAAAAGTATCTATTTAGGACCAAATTTTGATATAGCATATAAATACAGGTTTCGGTTCTATAAAGACATTGACCGGATTCCTGTGAATTAAAAACAGCATCCCAGAAATTATGGACTATAGAATAACGTTTTAGAAATAAGTCATAATTATTTCCCGTTCAATTTTCGGTATGTTGAAGTTCTTATTCCCGTTTTCCAACCTGAGTGTGATATGATATACTTCTCAATTATTTGTTGTATTTTCCTTAAAATGTTTTTGTACAATGTCAATCCAATTAAAAAAAAAAAATAATAAATATTTAGAAAATTTCCTATAATTGACAAATGTAGGCTTAAAGGAATGATACGCTACCACGACGTGGTGCAATTCAAATAGCTCGATACTAAATTCGTGAAAATGCAAATATGTTGCAAAATACTTTTTGCAAAGTTTTCGCGGTTTTTGACTTTTTCTCACCTTTTTAACCTTCCCTGGAGCTCCACGAACATTTCAACATTCAACATTGCCGGCCCGGCAAACTTTGTCTTGCATAGCAATATTGTTGATGCATAATTCACATAACGATAGCCCAATATTAAATTATCTTTAAGATAGTGCTCTGAAATTTGCACATACATTGAAATTGCGCAGAAAGTGTCCGTACCAAATATTACCAATATTGGCCCATGTTTCGGCGTACCACCCATATAATGGTAGCCCTAAACATTCGGTTTTTTGAAGATCTTAAGCGCGGGTTTCAACATAATTACTTTTAGTTTAATATAGGAGATACTTATCACTACATAAAATTATCAATATTGGCCCAATTATCCAGATAACCCTATAATATTCGGTATTTGGCTGTAATTTTACATTTTGGATGATCATTGAGTAGAAAATGTTCCTAATAAAATTTAGTCCAAAATCTCCTTACAAAGAATTATCAATTTTGGTCAAAGTTTGTGGGTTGCACCCATATAATGGTATCCCCCCTAATTTCTCATGTTGTGTAGAATCTTCCTACCAATAATTAAAATGTCTCCATTCCCATTGTTGTAGTTAAAATAGTTCATTCCGGGATATTGGGGGGAGACACATTTTTGCGACTAAGTATCTACTTAGGTCCGACTTTTGATATAGCATCTATATAATTAGGCATAACGAATTCCTGTGAATAAAAAACATCATTCCAGAAATTTTGCACTACAGCGTAACGTTAAAAAACGCCATAATTATTTTCAGTTCAATTTTCGGTATGTTGAATTAGCATGTTAGTTAGCATGTTCAATACGAATGGGTAACATCGGACGGAGGTTTTCGTATAACCTTCAAGTCGCTTCGTCATCGCTAATTTTTATAAAATTGCTGGTTTTTTGTATGTTGTTCTCTCTCCAGCTGAGCTTAATGATAGATTTTTGCAAAGAAGATATTTCGTATATTGCACTGTGATAAACATTTTTAGTGTCGGATATATGCGAGGTGTTTATAAGTTCAAAGATATTGAACAACGATTAGGCATATAACCGCCTGATTTGATATTTCCCATGGCATAGCAAAATTTCAGGAACTTTAAGGAACAACATGTTCCTATTATTATTATTTTCAAACAAATTAATCAAGGGCATGGATCTTAGAATCAGAATACCCGGAATGGACACGATCTCGATTCAGAATCTCTTCTGATTTTCCATCCTTGCATTAGTCCCAAAATGTACTTGCATTCTATGGACGATCTAAGTCAGGTCGTCATCTCCTCGGCATCTTAACGTTATTAATTAATGAGGTTAAGATGCCGAACAATAGTGTAACCATCACAGGGTCACTATCT